GTAACATACCACTGCTTTGAATTCCCGTGGAAATCGATCCCTGGCATCCCACAAAATATCAACGTCGTCACGCTTCAAGATCAAAATTTTTTCTGGCACAAATGCCGTGTGGAACATCACTCTGAAGATCATCTGTTCATTCAACAACTCCTCGTCCAAGTAGACACACTCAATAACGATATCGCCTTGTACACGACATCTAAGATCTACCTTCACAAACACACACTCTTCCTGCAGTGCAAAATTTTCACGGTACAATCAACTCATCGATGTTAATTTGCACATTCATCCTTCATCGTTTTAGTTTCACGATATCGAGACATAGTTACCTGTGCGTACTGACGTACGAGTCCCTCAGTCTTCCAACTCGAACACAAAAGCTTACACATTCCGTTGGCCAGTTTCGAAGGATCCTTACCATAAACACGCACAACCGTTCTGCAACCTTCTCCCCTTTCGCAGACTGGAAGCGCTCTAAGCACCAAACAATCGAGATCCAACGACGACGAGGCAGAAGGAGTCCAATATCCCCCAACAAAATTCCTTCTCGAAACATACTGAAGATATCTAATATGCGAAGGGAACGAATTCGAACCGGACAAAACACGCAGAATTTCATTAGGAGCTAGCTTGTATATCGCTTCAAGAGTCTTTTGCTCCCCAGTATACTGCCCTCGATGGAGCAAAAGACTCGCAAGCACGAAAGCAAGAACAGGCCACCCTCCTCTTTCGCAGTGCATCAACAACACGCTTTGTTGTTGCCCTTCCTCCATCGACAGCCAGCTTTCGCTGAATCGAAGGACATGACGAATTTTCTTGAGAGGCAACAATGGACACCCTGCGTATTGACTAGGGTAATCCAAAACCATCATGTCGTCGTACTGCGTTAAGATGTCTGAAAGTTGGCTCAGTCGTCGATCTCTTTCACGAAAGTTGAACACCGTGTACGATGCATCGGGAAATCGGTCGTGTAGTTGTGCTACAATGTTGTCCAAGTAGAGCTTGTACTCGTCATTTTTCATGACATTGGTGGAAAAGCAACTGTTGAAAACTGCAAAAAAAAAGATAGGGCACGGGAGATCAGAAGAATAAAAGAATCATGCAACGGGAAGGAAGACAAGTTCTTGAGGGAGGAAAAAAAAAAGAAGATGAAGGGAAAGGAGGTACCAAAAACTCTATCGGAGATCTCAAGAAGCCCGTCGGGCGGCTTCGGGTGGAAGAAGCGTCTGGACAATGACATCTACGGTGGCTGGATCCAAATCAATCGATTTCTAAAATACAGGGATCACGGCGAATCCACCTTCAGTTTCGTCGTTCCAACTCAGATTCAAAAGGGTTGCAAAAAGTTCGTGTCGCCGAACGCAAAGGGAATTGGCGAATATGAATGCCCTTGCTAGGTAATTCGGCACCAACGTGAATGAATTGAATTGGAAAATTAATATGTTGAAGAAGCGAATGTGATAGGGCGATAGGGTCAGAGGGAAATGAGGAAGATGAAAAAGGGAGAATTCTATTGTGTCGGGCAAGTACCTATATACCGTATACCTCTCTAACGAGTTATTGCAAGTTTTTCCTTTGACCCGATCCTAATTAAACTGACCCTATAAACAAATTGACTCAATCCGACCCTCAAGTTTGGGGGCGGATTGGTGAGTTTTTAAGGTCAAACTTATACCTCTAGTTGCAATCTCCGATCAAAATTATCCGTGGCCATTTTCCTCTGCCGTGTATGTTTTTAATTTTCCAGCAAAGTCACAGTGCGACGCAGAATTTCTTTGTTCTTTATGACGTTGGATGAAATGATCCGACTCCGACCATATAGTGACGACACGACTCTTCTGCATTTTGCGACATAGTGATTGGTCAACTTGATGTTAAAATAAATTGACACTAATTATTTATATTTTTGGCGAGGGCCTACAAGTCAATCATAAACGATGCACAATGTAACAAAGTAGACATCCAATCATTTATCTCTTTTGCCTTTCACCATGTATCTTAACCACTTTTTTTAGACATACGTTCATTACAATTCACCAGCAGAAAGCTGTGAGATATTATTAGTAAAAACTAAAAATAAAGCATACAAAGGCATAGAGGAAATTCATGAATACATATAAACATCACCACACCACGTACAAACGACAGGGAAGACGCGTGTACGTATATCTTACTTAGTAACAACGATCGACTTGCCTGCTAGCGAGGTTATACTTCCGATGACCTAAAATAAAAGGCTCATACATTAGGCCACTGTTTCTCACCGCCGCCGGCAGTCTTTTGACGTCATCACCGGCCTCATCTAGTCCAGCTTGATGGGTTCTGTAGCGCCGGGAGCAACACTGTGAACCTTACCGAAGACACCTCCGCCAATGGGAGCAAGCCACGACGAATCAGCCTTTCCAAATACTCCACCGCCGATGGGAGCGAGCCACGATGCATCTTCACCGGAGTTCTCAGCCTTTCCAAAGACGCCGCCGCCGATAGGAGCCAGCCACGATGCATCAGCGCCTCCATCTATTAGAGCACGACGACAAGTACGTGGTAGTATTATGTCATACTATGAGTATGGGTTATGTAATTTGACATAATATTTTTTTTTTTATATTAACGTTATTATATGAATCCGTCATTATATTCTATATATAAAATATAAACCCCGACATGATTTCAATAATAAAACACAACAGTTTCCACCGAATTTTGATTTACCCAACACCGTTCATACCGTCACGAGCCTTTCCGAATACGCCGCCACCGATCGGAGCCAGCCAGGATCCATCACCCACGTTGGCACGTATTCTCACCGAGTTCTGATGAGCCGCCGCCTTTCCAAAGACGCCTCCACCAATGGGAGCCAGCCACGAGGCATCACCGCCTCCTTTCGCGCCATTTCTGGACTTTCCAAAGACGCCGCCGCCAATGGGAGCCAGCCAGGAGGCGTCGCCTCCGTGTACTGCAGTGGTGGGAGCGTTAGGGAGAAGGGTGGTAGCAAATGAAAGGGCAGAAGAAGAAGCCATGTGATGTGCGGTTTAAGACCTCGATCGTTAGCTTTAGTACTGCGATGGGAAGTATATATATGGTGTTCTGATGAGCAGGGATGAAGGGGATATACATTGGCTATTCCACAGCAGATAGTATTTATAATGTGCAAATCCCTGTAACAAATGTTATTAATGCCAGCGAGTTGGCAATATTAATATTAGCGAGTGGCCATATATATATATATAGCAGCAGCCGGCCGTACCGTAGATTATTAAACTAGTGTAACTTGTAAGCGGTAGGTAGCAGAAAGAAAGGTAACCCGCCGGAACTGTTCAGGATTCACAAGCTGTGTGCAGGTTGACTCTTGAGGGGTAAATACCACATTTGGTAACTGGGACTACTAAATCGTGTTATGTTTAGTCACTAGAAAAAAATTAATATCAATTTTGGTCACTCGAATTACTAAACCGGGTCACATTTAGTCACTCTCCCGTTAGCCTCCGTCCAACTCCAGTCACTCGAATTACTTTTTTTTTCTTATGTATGTCACTCGAATTACTGAAACATGGAGTTGGACGGAAATTAACGGGAGAGTGACTAAATGTGACATGTTTCAGTAATTCGAGTGACCAAAATTGATATTAATTTTGTTCTAGTGACTAAACTTGACATGATTTAGTAATCTCAGTGACCAAATGTGGCATTTACCCCCTATATATTTACATACACTTTGTAAGTAAGTGATTAGAATAGTTATATTGGTTGGTTTATAACATGATATTATAGTTGGTTTTTCATTCAGGTCAACTGTTCAAATTAAATCATCACTATTTTCAATCTTAATAGTTATCTTAATTAAAGCACGTGGTATGTCGAATCTGTGTAATTTTCAAGCGCATAAGATATATTTCATTTTGAGAGGGCGTATAAGGAAAAGAATAACATTGAACTTTTTCAAATTACTCAAATTGTTGTAACCAGTTGGCTTATGAGTTATGACAGTACATATCGGATATTAGCCAAACCTAATAATTTAATAACTTGCCACCACTTGCCGCGCAATGAATCGGAGGACAACCACTAGCTGCTACATGGGCAAAATGATCACATTAGTAGCTAATGAGTTAGGGTTTGTGGAGAATATTGAAGATTATCCTAACAATAATTACAATGATATTTAAGGATTAATATATAAAAAGCTCGGGGTCCCTCCAACATGGGGGCTGCGGCAGCCATTGCTGACAAGCTAAAAATTAACTTGAAACAATAGAGGGCGGAAATGTCCATGAAACCATGCAAGTGGGAGTAGGATTTGCCTTCTACATACACCATGAATCCATGATCACCAAGAAATTTCATTTGAGGCAACATTTCTTTTTTCGCTTAACAGAGGCGGAGGCAGGGCCTTTGGGCTTTGTCACGGAACAGTGGTAAATTTCGGGGAAAAAATTATCCCATATATATTTACATTGACGATGGAATACAACACGTATAAGTGGTATGAGAGTATTTTGACACTACAACACAACTTATTACTTGTTCATCGATCAACATAAAATTAATTTATTATACTATAAACGAAATTCCAATTGTAATAAAGACCTAATTCGATCTCTATTCTACTTATGCCTATTCAGTTTTTCCCCCAACAACCCTGAAATTATCCAACGGTAATGACAATTCCACTACTACAAATTGTAACTGCAAGTGTAGAAAAAGCATTTTCAGTTTGGACTTATATTAAGAACAAATTTCCAAGTCAAATTGGAGATGGTTTTGCTGATGATTACTTAAGAGTGTAGACAACGAATGTTTTGCGTTTCTTTCACAATAGAATGCAAGAGAATATATGATATATATATAAATATATTTTTTTTTATTAGTGCTTCTTCCAACAATTTAAGTTATTAATGATTAAGATTACAGGACGGACAACAAAATATAAATAGAATAATTGCCGGATTATGATCACCATTGCCATTATTATCACTTTGTTCGGTTTCTCATGATCGGTCTCAGATGGAGCCGAGGAAACATTTCATTAGAGTGAGCATAAGGTTGGGATCAGAAGCTCCATCTAGGCTTTGAAAGTCGAAATCCATTCGAGCTTCCACCCCACCATCGTCGTCGAAGAATTTCAGGCCAGCTGGTGAAATGGCTTGGGCAGTTTTGCCCAATCCAGCCATAACGGTCCCTAATGCCATAATCATCTCCGGCAGTGACGAATTAGGCCTCGACAGCTCCACGACCTTCACCTGTTCATATAATTTAATTGCACAAGTTCAATCAAAAGGTATAATCGGCTTGGGAGGAATAAACCAATACAAATAAAATTATATTTATTGTGACGGTCTAGTCGTCGCTAAAAAAAGGTTCTAGCAACCACTTTGTTTCTTTTTTGGCGACCGTTTTCTCGTCGTGCGTTAAATTAAGCCGCTGAAACTTATACTGACCGGTTTGTCGTCGGGGATATTGGCTTTGCGTTTGGCAATGGCGACGGCGCGTGAGACCCCGCCGATTGCGTCCACTAAACCGCAGGAAACAGCATCGGCGCCATGCCAGATTCTGCCTTGTGCTACCTTCTCCATCTCTTCCACCTGCAGTGCTTAATTACCATCATATTAATGATTATCCATCTTTTTAATCACTAATAAATTGCTCCTGTAATCCTATTTTAATTGACGTACGCTCATGGATCTGGAAAATGCTGCCTTGTCACGAAATTCCTTGTACACATGCTTAGTAATGTTCTCGTGAAGCTCCGATTCTTCTGGCCTTCAAAACAAACGGATGAAATAGTGAGCGTCGCAAGATGAGGGAAATCATAGGGTCGATTAAACATCTGGTCACAACAGATCTAGACGTTGGCGAATAATTATTAGTGACGGAAGTAGTTCTCGTTGAGTGCAGACAAGAGCATATGGACGATGGAAGGAAAAAGGTATAAGATGTTATAAATCAGTTGGTACAAATAACTCGAGTTGTTGGGAAAATGTTATGCTGGATCTTATACCATTTTCTAGCAAATACATCCTATTATCTTTCCAAAGGCTCAAATTATTATATTACTGGAGTTAATTGATTCTCGATATAGTATTAAAGTCTTAAATGACGAGAAGGTTTTGTGTTCGAATCCTCACAGCCTTCGATATTAAAAACTGATGAAACCATTTTGTCGATAAAACATCTGATCATTAGTAGTGACGAACGTAGCTCTCGTCATGATGGCATGGAGGATGAGAAAGAAAGATATAAGATCCATTATATCAATTTTTCAAAAAACTCGAATTATTATATATATTAGAATTAATTTGTTCTCGAGAGCCTATGATCAAGAACGTGTTTTATGTTCGAATTCCTACGAACCCCGGTATATATTAATCGTTGGCCTATAGATTGACTTTGGTTTACAATAGTGTGGAAAAATTATATTTATAAATTATTAAATATTACCTTAGAGGTCGGTGCCCAGCAATATTAAACTCGGAATATTTGCCTTTTGATACTACGTGCTTGTGATAGCCAATTCTTCGGTGCAGTTCCGCAAGGTTAAACCTCCCTGCACGCGTAAAAACTCATTAACAGAACTAGCCGATTGTATAATTAGCCTAATTACGTGCGTGCTTAATTACCTTGAATAACACCAACTGATGAGGTTAGCGTTAATTTTTCTGCCACGATGGCGGTGGATCCCATTGCTATGTAGTACCCACCGCTGGCCGCCGTGTCCGACATCGATGCTATTACCGGTTTCTTCGTCGCTAAAAGTCGAACCTCCCTCCATATTCTACATATATGAAATGAAAAATATCAAAATCATAATTAGCTAATTTTTGTTTTCTGCTTCCAAAATTTGACTTTTTTGTGTGTGTGGAAAGAACGTACAAATCAGATGCAAGGGCATCACCGCCAGCGCTGTCGATTCTGATGACCACGGCTTTATATTTTTTGGAATCTGAAGAGATCGACCGCACGACATCTCAAATGAGGCATAAACAAGTAAATCACATGAGCCTCTACAAACTTCAAACTAACGTTAGATTTCGATTGAGATAGTATTAAGATAGTATATTACCTCTCACGAGACGAATCTGTTTAATAACGTCGGCGGGGATGATACCAGATCCAGGGAAATTCAGCAAGCTCCAGCTATTGACAATGAGGCCAGACGTTCGGATCACAGCTATTTCATCTTTGCCACCATTTAAACCCAACGTCCAGTTTTTAACCCTTGAATATTTCCTGCTCCCGATATATGCATACCCATCGACAAGGAAATTAAAGTAATATTCGTGACATTAAAAAGAAGCTTTACCTCCTTGCTAGTTAATTAGCCAAGGTTAATGATGAGAAAATGTAACCTGTAATCAACAGTAGGTAGAATCTTGTCTTCTTGGAGGCCAACTTTCTTTTTCAACAGTTCCATGACCTGTCGAGGAATCGTTAATTAATAAATGAATCGTAATATTTATGTCGCTAATCAACAAAACGAGCGGAACCCAAGTCAAATTAATCATAATATTCAGACTATAAATAAGTTTTACTTAATTATAATCGATTAAGTATATGCCTGGTCTTCGTAGAATACGTCTGTGATGAAGCCCTCCTCTTTCAGCCTCTCCATCCTGTACGCTCCTTCATTCAGGAATTCCTCTATATCTTCTCTTTTCTTCCCTGATGACGTGGTATTTGTTAATCAGGGACAGAGAGATCGATCATGGTCCACTAATGTAATAATTAGAGCTAAAACAGCCTCGTCCAATCAGTACTAATTAACTAATCAAGTAATTATGTGTGTAGATGAGATCAGAGCGTATCGAGGTGGCAATTGGATCGGATTCGTGGATTGGATTGGTGGATTCATGAATTGGATCAAATGGATTGGTGGATTGATTCATGAATCCAAATGACATCCAAAACTTGGACCAAAATATAAAATTTGAAAAGTTTTGGTACTAAAATGTCATAATGAAAAATTTTAGGTACCAAAATGTAAAGTGTAAAAAATATAGGTACCAAATCGTAATTTGCCATTTGGATCCACCCATCCAATTGAATTTGGATCAAATGGATTGGATTAGATGGATAATTTGGTGGATGGATTGGATTCATAGATTTGGATCCTAATTGCGTATACAGTCTGTTACCTGTGGAGGAAGAAACTGTGGCCACCCAGTTCTCATGTATGTTTTCGAGCAACAGGGTCAAGACTTCGAGATGTGGTTCGGCAATAGTCTTGCGCATCATTTGATCCCCTGCCTTTTTGTACTTCCCAATCCTCTGGTACACCGGTTCGATCCCCATCTTCTCTAGCACACCTGCACCCAGAAAATGACCAGAGACGCTCTCTCGCTCTTTAGCGACGGAAAGTGTAAGCTCTAAAAAGTCGCATTACTATATCTGGCCACGAAGACTTCATATGACCACCGTAACTGTATCTTTTTAGTGACCAACTTGGTGGTGTCAAAAAAGAAAAAATGAAGTTACCTCTCAGGAAGACTGACGTCAAGGCAAAGCCATACAAAGAGAAGTGAGCAAATGAGGGGGCGTATAGCTCATCGCAGGCACAACCCAGGTAGTACTCTTTCTCCTTCAAGAATGACATGTACCCAACAACAAATTTGCCTGCGAAATAATAACCCGACATCGAATCTTGGTCTTCTAATAATTTGTGCATACTCGAGTGCTTGGATAAATAAATAAATAAATAAAACTACTTTCGCATAAAAGATCTTTTATATCGTGGTGATTCAAATTCATTAATTAATTAAGTGAGAAAAAGAAAGAAACATATGATAATCGCACTAGTACTACACAACTATTGTGTTGTTTTTTTTTTTGTCGATTATTTGTAGATTTAACATCGGTTTTAACAAACGGTAAATACGCTGTTGACGTACGTTCGGCAATAACCGTCTAACAATTCTCTCGACACTAAATTTATTTATGTTGGTTTTGCCAAACCGGCAAGAAAATTTATCGTGTCATACACCATTCTCAGACAATAATAACTTAATTGAGATAGTAGTGGTAATGTAGCAGTACTAAAGCACGAGACCAAGTAGAGCCCAAATTGGAAAGACGAAGACTTTTTAGCGACGGAGACATGACTGGTTACTGAAAGAGACTAAGAGATCCTCCAAAGTTCTTTTATGCATGCATCTGTTTCAGGCGGCCAACTTGATCAATTATTTTTTACGCCCCCACATAATCTTAGGAATTTACTAATTAATACCTCATCTAATTAAAGACGTCTAGAAACGAGAAAGAGTAGATCCATACCACTAATTACTACGAATTTGTTTGATTAAATAAAAATAAACTAAACCTGATTTCCGGAAATCCAAAATATGGCGACGGATTTCATCCAGCTTCCCCCACCCGCACTCCAAGCCGTCGATCTTGAGATAGATTCCGGCAATGCGCGGATCGTTTGCCGCTTTCGCAAAGTTCTCGCACACTTGTGGCAGCGCCAGTTCCGCCCCCAAAAACCGACCCTTCGCCGTATCTGATATCTGAAAACCATAGCGCAAATTTCTCAAAATTTATCGACATATTTGTAGTTCAACGATATCATATCATAGCAATAAGGATGGGTATTGGTTGGATTTTGATCCAGAACTAGATCAAATTGAGATAGGAGCGGATAAAAAAGCAAAAGGAAAATGAGGACCAGAACCGGACTAGAAACATGTTAATTTGGTTCATTTGATTCAATTCGGCACGGTCCAAATTTAATTTAGGTCATTTTTCTTCGTATCAAGATAATTTATAGGACCAAAACTGAATCAAAATATATTCAATCCGATCATATTCGGTCCAAATATCAATTCGGTACGATTCGATCTTGTGTGAACCGAATCATTGTCCACACAGCAGTAGAATTTAGTGAGAAGCATTTGATTATCAAGCTACTTTAAGATTTACAACAGTTCGATCTTGTGCAAAGATTGAGTTCTTCTGAAGGCACACAGTAATTAACTAAAAGTAAACAAGATGTTTAAGCAAACTAAGGAATTTATTACAACACACACCTCGCCGCGCAAGTGCATGCACAAGACGCTGCCGTGCGCAACACGCTGCCAGGGGGGAGCAATGAGCATCCGAAGCTTGAGGAGGAAGCCATCCCACCTCCCCAACTCCTTCCTCACTCCAAACGCGCCGCCGTCAGCGGGATACTCCTCCCCCGCCGCCGCCGCAGCAGCTTTCCTAAACCTCACGGCGGCGCTGCCGTTTTCCGAAGACTCCTCCGCTACTTCCGGTGGGTCCCGAACCGCAGAGTCAACTCTCCTTTTTCGGTACGGCTTGACGGGAGGGGAAAACAGATGGTGAGGCGACGGAGGCGTGGCAGCAGCGGGTCGGGGGAGGTGGAGGAGGAGCGCCGGGGCGGAGGTGCGGCGGCGGCGGCAGAGGAGCATGGGAGTGGTGGAATAGTGGTTATTGTTAACGAGACGATTAGTCGGAGGAGGATTGAGGTTGATCTTGATCTGTAGCTGCGCCATTTTTCGATCGGAGTTTTTGATGGGGCTCTCTGTTGTTCTTTTGTGTTGGTGTAGTGAAGTTGATGGACTCTGTTTTTTCGATATTTATTTACTGCTAAGTCTTGTTATTAATTTATAATCTCCTTTTTTTTATTTACAACTTTCCTGACAAGCAAAACCATGATGAAATTCTTATATTAATAAACCTCCAGAACGTGGTCACAGAAAAGGTTGCAACCCGCTTGTAGCAATATGATGAAAATGCTGTTAACCTCCCCTTTTAGGCTAAAAGCCTACTTAGCCACCAACTACCTTTTCTATCGTTATGGTCTAACAACCACCTCTTGCTTTCTAGCCAAACGTTGGTGACCTTGTAATGGTGAAATATTGGTTCCAGAGAGTGACATCTCTGTCTCGAATCACTTAATGATATGGCTGAGTATTGGTTTGTGAGAGTGACATATGTACTTCGAATTATTTATCGACGTAATTGCGATGAAGATATGATGATATTTTTAATTAATCTCGATTTTCTTAAGGAAAATTTTAGCGAATACATTTTCTGTAATTTTGTATATTCTTACTATTGCCCTTTTTATTTTATTTTTGTTTGCTTTTTTATTGGATTAGTCTAAGTAATCGAGGTGTCTCTCAAGATCCAATGTCAATAATCAGTCTGTCCAGGACTTAGGAGGATTAGTCAACAATTGAAAAACGTACAGAATGATGGAGCACCGAGAGTTTCGAAGAACATGTTAAAATTAGCAATAAATTGATCCAATCAGTATCATCTAATAAAGCTTGAGGCTCACTCATTTTATCAGCATATGTTGTCTTATTGTTCTTACAATACTTAGAATCTCTTTTTGTTTAAGTAGATATATAGTCCAAGTAACCTAAAATCAATTAGAGTCCATCTCTTTTTTTTTTTTTTTTGGTGAGAGAGTCCATCTCATTTAATCTCGAGCCCAATCCGAAAGCAGACAATTCTGAATCGAAAAGGAGCCCAAGATGGGGCATGATCCGGCCCAATCAGGGCCCACTGCGAAAGCCTCTTCATCGGGTCCACAAACTTTGCAAAGTTGTAAGTTCTTTTTTCCTCTTTCTTTCATAAACAGCCCATCACAGGGCGTCTTTGTTCCGAGTCGTCTCTCCGCTGAAAAAGAAGAAAGCCAAACTCAGAGATTGCTTTGCTCGTCTCCCTCCTGTTGCAGTTAGAGTCGGAGGAGGAACTGCTGTCGCCGCCGGCTAGATCTCAATTGAACCCGAGATCCATGGTAATGTTGATTCCTCCCCGTTTAATTTGGTTGATCTCCTCTTTTCCATGGTTGCTGTCGTGGGTCGCTCCTTTTTCTCTCCCGCGGTTCCGCTCCTGATCGGAGGGATGGGCATAGGTGCATAGCCATATCCTCGATTGACATTCTACATACCGGAGTTTCTTAGACTGTCTTCTGGAATTGGGTTTTATTAACATCCACACAATTGAACTCAGCACGATAATGTGTTTCCTCGAGTTTGGTGTTGCTGATGCTGAATTGGGGCTGGAACGTTGTGGTTTGTGATTTAGACTTAGTAAGCCGAGCTCCTAAAGCTCTGTGTCTATGTAGATGTAGCTTTCGTAAAGTATTAATGGTGTGTGGTTACGGTATAGATTAAACCTCTGCCTTTTGATTGTTCGTGTAGGTTCTACTACAGCCAGACCCGTTTCTTAATGAGCTCACAAGCATGTTTGAGCACAGCACGGAGAAAGGCTCGGTTTGGGTCACTCTCAAACGATGTAAGTTGACAGCTATTTGGTCAACTGCCAGCTTGTGGCGGTGTAAGGTTCTAATGTTTGTAGATGTTTTTGGAATGCATGAGGGTGTTGACTGTGTGTACTTGTTGTTTTTGTGATTTGAAGCATCCTTGAAGTCTAAGGTGCAGAGGAATAAGATGAAAACTGCTGGTGAACCTCTTGACTACCGGTGCCTCATTCGTGCAACCAATGGGAAGAAGACAATCTCTACTTCAGTAAGAGACTTCTTTCCATGAACAGTCACTTAAACTTGTGTGGTTATCATGGCAAGTGTTTAGCTTGGTTGACCAGGCAATCAATTGCTGTCTTTTGAAACAGTATTTGTCCATCACAATCTAAATCTTGATGCTTTATGTGAAAGCCAATAGATTCATAGTAACTTCGGCACTACAGCCGGATTTCATCTTGTTTTGCCTGTATATGGTGTTGTACTGGACCTGTGTAACATCAAATGAGTTACATGCTCATCAGCATAAGGGATTCGACGCTTAGATTTCTGGACATTGTGTTTGGTACTCTCGTTTGTTCATTCGGAAAGGAGCTATAACAAGCTTGGCTCTGTTGTCTGTTTGCCCTTCCCTGAAATATGATGCTATAATGTTGAACTAGCTCTGCCGACAAGGTTTAGTCCAAAATTGTCCGAGTTATGAATATGTTTGCGATAGATTCTTGAACCTACCTACCTACAACTAGTTCTAGCTGAAGGTGTTGCCTGCTTTAAAATGGATTAGAGAGATTAAGAGGGTGTGGAAATGATTGCCAGTAAGACCAATGTGTGCCCCAGGTGCTACAATTAATAGAAAAAGATCTGCCGAGAACTAGCCAGGGGAGCATGCATTTAGTTAAGCATGTAATTAAACATGCACCTCGTGTTTACCTAACTATGTTCTTTCTTTGGTGATATTGGCTTCCGAGGCTTTTCCCCCTTCTTTATAAACTGCTGCATTTGTGCAGGTTGGGGCAAAGGATCACCAGAAGTTTCAAGCATCTTATGCAACAATCCTCAAGGCTCACATGACAGCTCTGAAGAAGAGGGAAAGGAAGGACAAGAAGAAGGCTGCAGATGCAACAACGAATAAGAAAGACGGGGAGAGCTCGAAGAAGAGACCTAAGAAGGTGTGATGATGTTTTAGCCTGTAAAATCCCAATTATCAAAATTATGTAGTTTGCGTCTTTCTTTTTACAAGGAGCAGAAGGGTTGATAGGTTTTTTAGGGAAGAAGTACAGAATTGTCCATTTTGTTTTGGCGCAATGCAGATTGCTAGCAGGTTTTGTTTGTTTGTTTTGGATTGAATGCCCTTCTCCAAGGATCCATCTTTAGTGACTACAGAATTTGGTCTGATCCCATTTTTGTGCAGCCACTTGAGGTATCAAAACGATAATGACTTTGAAGATGTTTCCTATTTGACTTGATCCTTCCTCGGAGTATAATGCCTTATTACCGATCATCTTTGTCAGCAGGATATCCAAATTTGACGACTAAACACAAAGTCGACTTGTTTTCTGTATCATTTCGATATCATCAACCCTTCAAAATCCTCACAAATCCAGCCATGCTACTATAATTAGTGGTAGTCGAGTCTGCCAAGGACAGATAATAATCAATGAGGTGAACAGAATCCTCTTTCCTCAATTTTCTTGTTCTCCGCCCTTGCGTGCAGAAGTTTACTTTGGACGTTGCCAACACTAAACTTGTATTAGAGGGTCATTATCTTAATTAATCTCCATCTTTTCTCATTTGATTAAACACCGTTCTCACTGGCTTCCTTGTTTAGGCGGAGTGTCTCATGTGCAGCCAGCCTAAGTGCGACACAAATGTGGTAGTGGTAGCTTTCAGCTGGGTTGTGTTCACTTTTAACGATCAAAATTGATGCAAGTGGTACGGGTAAATCTCAGGTTTGAATCTATCAAATAGCACCTTATAATGAAAAACAAACTTATATTATCGTTATCTAAAAAATAATGAAAACAGATACAATGAACAATCTTTTATGGTGAACTAATAAATACAATATAGCTTGCCTTCTCAGTTTATTTGGTTGTCAATGAAATGACAAAAAAAAAAAAAAAAGTTGAGAAACCAAATCATGTTCTCATGAATGATTTCAAAACAAATAACAACAGGTGGATTAGGCGCACAATCGTATCGATAGTTATTGAAAAGTTATTCACCGATTTTCGAGTATAACATTTGAACATAGAAGAAAATCTTCTTAAGTGAAACATTTTATACTATTGATCTTGCTATCTTTTAGTTCTTTAACATGTTCACTTAAATGTGATGATTCTCGCTTCTTAATGCATGAATAGGTAGAAGAATCCTGCGGTCAGTTTGATAATGATCGAGTGACATTGCTTCTTCGGCCCGAACCAAGGAGTCCCTTAGATATGATGAAAAATGGATCTTGTTCTATCCTTGATCAGAGATTTCTCTATGAAAAATACGAATCGGAGTTTGAAGAAGGGGAAGAAGAAGGAGCCCTCGACCCGCAACAGATAGAGGAGGATTTATTCAATCACATAATTTGGGCTAAAAAAAAATCCGAGACCTACTTTTATATTGAAAAGCTAAGACTTAGCACTTCTCGTAAATCTGCCAACTTTCGGCCTTTTAATTTAAATAGGATTTTATTCATTTTTTCTTCCTTTAAGGATAATAAATATTATTAAGACAATAAATTCATTGTTACGCTTTCACATCAAAGTGATATAAGTGGGGAAGCAATTTAAAATATCTAGAGATGGTTCTTCGATATGTCATGTTATATTTTACTCGGCCCAGTTTGTATTAGGGACGGGTTTTACCCGACTCGCACTAAGATGGAACGGTTCTTCAATAATTTAACAATACTAAAGATGAGCAAGACAAATCAAACTTGCATCTGGGGCTGAAAATCAAACACTAATATTCACGGCAAAACATAAAACATAATTGGAATAAATCAAATTATGAAACAAAATACGAGTATGATAATACCCGTCCATTCTGACGTGTTTTCATTCCTACATCAAGTACATTCGCATTGTACATTTCTATCAATTTTTTTTATAATTTATCAACTCTCAAATTCTAATACACATATAGTAACGAGTTCATAATTTTCCAACTATTTATTGCCATACCTAAATTAATTATAGAATAAAATATTATTATTATAAAATTATAGCGCTGAGGCTTTTCTCTTTTATTAACTTCCATTCCCCCAATTCAGTCCCAATTCCCCTTCCAATCGTCAGTTTCAGTCCACCTGTTTTCTCAATGTCTCAACCCACCGCCACCGCCGCCGCCGCCTCCTCCAGCACCAGCACCGCCACCGCCATCCCCATCCCCGCCGCCGACGGATACAAAATCCACAAACCGTACAACGCCAAAGCCCAAGCCCGCGACTGCTGCAACTGCATCTTCTTCCTCATCTTCGCCCTCGCCCTCGCCTGCGCCGTCCCCGCCGTCACCCGCGCCCTCATCTACCTCCAGCCCGGCCTCCCCGCCGTCGCCGTCATCTCCTCCACCGTCACCGTCAGAAACGTCTCCGACAGCCTCATCACCGCCAGCTGGGACGTCACCTTCACCCTCTCCAACCCCAACGACAGGGGATTCTTCTACGAGCGCCTCGTAGCCTACGCCGCCGGAGGCGGCGGCGCCTCCGGCGGCCACCGCATCGCCAACGTCACCCTCCCGCCGTTCCGCCAGGCCGGACGCGCCGCCGCCACGCTCTCCGCCTCGTTCCCAGCGTTGAAATTCGTGGTGAACGACTGCGCGGCAAACCGGACGATCCTCCGGCCATGCGCGCCGGCGCCGCTGAGCCTGCTGGTGGAGCCGGCGGCGGTGTACGAGCGGTGGACGTGGCCGTGGAAGGGGGATGTGGTCGTGGCGGAGTGTGACGTCAAGGAGGTGGCGTTCCGGCCGCGTGTGACGAAATTGGAGCTGGGTCCGGCGAGCTGCCGCTCCGACGGGCGGTGGCGGCGGTTGGAGGTGAAGTGCCGGACCATATTCTGGAATTATGTCTACGTTGCGGGAATGTGTCTTGCGATTTTGGCGTTCTCTCTTTAGGCGGTTGAGTTTTAATTATCTCTCTTTTGGGAAAGTTATTTTCTTCTTAATTTCTGATTTTTTTTTTGTTGTTGTTGTTGTGCTAGCTAGCTAAGTAGAGAGCATAAATATTCGTCTGTAAATATGGCGAAATCGATACATTTCGATTAATGAAGAGCAGTTACCATGTACAATTAAGGTTGTCATTACCGTGAATTAATCGCGTTTTTATCTTTTGACATGCTAGTGGAGATTTTATTCCGACTAATTTGTTTGCAAATATATTTATAAAAAAAAAAATTTTGCTTGCAAATAAAATTAGCCACTATCTTCTTTTTATTTCTTTCTTTGCGACAATAAGTACCCACTAAATTTATTTAATTTCGTGCGTTTCTGATAGATAAGTGAATTGTTACTTCCGGTTTTTATGGCCACCACTCTGTCCAGTTTCGTGTTCGTGGAGAACATGGGGGGAGATGATGAGGGGTTAAGGGATAATCTTTCCCGCCATATTTCGTAATTATCGGGCGTAGACGTAGAGTGATTGTGTTAGTTTGGAAAACTAATTAGGAAAAGACCCGCATGCATAATCTAGAGCAATTATCATTACTCTGCAATAATCCAGGGAGACTTTACATGCATGATGTATGGAGCAATGCTGGTATAATGGTCAAGACTCAAGGACATAATCCAGATTTTTTACCCTCCATTAATCTAAAATATTTCGTAGTTTAAAATCAAAGTGGAATTTGTTGATGACGTTGATTAAAACAATTATAGATGATTTTTTTTCCCTAAACTAGAAATTTATGATTCCTTAAAAAGGAAAGTTTATATATTATTCAGAGATGGGTGATTATTTATCAGCACAGGCCAATATCATCTGGATTGTTTGTTTGTGTCTTTTCAGTTACTGGATTGAGTGTAACGAGATTTTTCAAGTGATGTCTTCATCTCGTTGATTGAGCTATTGAGAACACATAAAGTAAGTAAATCGACATACATTAGTACATGTTGAATGTTGCCAATCTAACATAACATAATAGGGCGATTATATTAGGTAGAAAACCAAATAGTTATGAGTTATGACGAGCATGTGAAATGAAAGAATGGGAATTCGCTTAATTAGGCTTCGCCAACAATGTATGTTTACCCTTGTTTTAATCCAACACAATTGGAATTTTGGAGCTTAGGTCCTTGATATATACTGCAGGCCTGCTTCAAGAAGACTATATTATTTGACAATTTAATACAACCTAATTTGGGGCTTTCTTTGGACAATTAACCGTTCAATCCCAAGCTAATAGCTAATTAGTTAGTTGGCTGGTTCTTTTCCTAAGCTAAATCCGAGGTCGTCTTTACATCTTCACACCTTCATTGTCGATTAACAACTATATTATTTATTAATTAATTCCACAGTATTGTGCCCTCTGTGGAGCTTGCATGCCATTGGGGTTACGTTGATGGAGAAGCGATCGAAAGGAGCTTTCCTCTCTTTTTTTCTGTTTTTCCTTTTGGCCTGTTGCTGGTGCTGACTTAGTGACTTCCCTCCCGGAACAAGGTGACAACCCAGCAGCAAGTTTCTGCTTCTAATTTCGGACCTCAAAGTGACTGCTACGTACGTTCGTTCTCACCTTTATTTTATGCCATTTGACAGAAAAAGTTTTGTAACTATATACCATTTGGTCGGTTTAATTTGTGTCCCAAATGCCAAAGTTTAACACAAAGGGTCTCATTTTTCGTGTCTGGTTTTGTTAGCAATCTCTTTACCATTATGAAAGTATACAGGTAGTATATATACATTTATCTGTGTTTAGGGAAATTCGATCACATTGGAACAAATACATTGAAAATTAGCGTGATCCCTACATAGATAGTATGCATTTGCATCTAATAACAATATGTATCGCTAGCTACGCGGACCCTTGATCGCTTCTAACAACCTTGAATAACGACCTATCTAAGACTTGTACGATCTACCTCGTGTAGTGCAAAGTAACACATAACTAAGTTGATTATGCTCTCGGTTGGGCAAGGCATGTCAAATTGGCAATATTTCAATGCAAAGATATTTGAGAAAATTCTTGTAACAAATGTACTTGTTGATTTCTTGTTACATGATTATCAGTTATCTTTTTTTTTTTTTTTTTGCTGCCAATCGATCACTCTTGAAAAGAGGAAACTGAACCGATCCAAGATTACAATAAACCTATTTACTGTTGAACCACGAAACGTAGTCAAACCCCCTTTGATAGCGGGGCGACAAAGACAGAGCACGACGGGCCACAGAATGAGCCACCCTGTTCCTATTGCGACCAACGAACACCACTTTAGCATCACCAAGATCAACAAGAAGCAACATAATTTCCTGAAGAAGAGCCCCAATCTTGGCGTCCGAAGTGTCTTTGTTACAGCACTTGTCAATAACTTATTTAGCATCCCCTCGATGATCACATTCCAGAGTTGGCGACTCAAGCATTCATTCAAGCATTCATTTAAATGATAATCATGTAAATGGCAGCGGCCTAAGGACTTAGCCCAGGACGGCCCAATATTTCCATGTCCATTTATCCACGGCCAGCAAAGACCCAGCCATCTAGGCTCTTAACCGAGCCCACCCTCAACCCAACTCTGAATCATCTGCAACGCGGCCCGCGGCTGGTCCATCGGAACCATATGACCCGCGTCGTAAACCTTGAGCAACGCCAGGGCCCATAGCTCTTTAGCTCCCCTGCTTTCCTTCCTCCCACTACTACGGCACCGTTTGAGCCGCCTCGAACCGCTGCTGGCCCGACCAGTTCAGGGCATTGACCCACTCGGAATTCCCGGCCCAATTGCATATCAGATCGTACTCTCCGACGTAGATTAGCGCCCTGATCCCGCTCTGGAGGAGCTCCGGGATGCCGAGTTTCAGGTCCGCCAGCCAGCCTCCTCTCATTGCGCCGTAGACCGTGAGGTTGCAGTAGACGAAGTCGTAGTCCGGCGCCACGCCGATGGCCGCCCTGACTTTTTGGTCGGTCAGAAATTGCTCCATTAAGGTCCGGTCCAGGCAGATGTGGTCGGCGCAGTGCTTTCCGATGTCGAACCACAGCTAAAGATTATAACAACACAAATTGGTAAGTACAACCAAAAGATAAGGAGTGATGCGTAATTGTTGAAGATATGTGTACGGACGGACCTGCAAGAAGGCGTACAAGTCGTCGGTAACGCCGGATTCGTCGTGGCGGGTGTCGCCGGGATCGGTGGAGTAACTGAATCCGGTGCCGTGTATTTTATCTTGTCTCTAATTGCATGGTTGGTCACTGAGATTACAAAAAAGTTCAAATTTGGTCACTCGAAATATTTAAATTCATTAGTGGTACTTAAGTTTACTGAAACCGTTCGCGTTTGGTCACTCTCCGCCCAAATAAACAATTTAAAAATAATAAATTAATGTTTTTCAAATTGCCATTTCATTTCCGCCTCATTATCACTTTTATTTAAAATAAATAAAAAATCATAACTTCTTCTTTATTCTCTATTGGTTGTCAAACCGGTTTCATGCCGGCCGGTTCAACCAGGTTCAACCGGTACCGGTCAGCAAACCGGCTGGAAAGGGGCCGATATTTAACTGTGGTCAAATCCGGTCAACACCGGTCAGATCCGGTCAAATCCGGAAATTCCGGCCGGTTGGACCCGAAATCGGAATTTAGTGGTACACACATTATATCCAAAAATAAACATCCTCCATAGGATTTGAACCAAGTACCTCATGTTCATTTAAGTTTAACTCATACACCAGTAAGGCTACAAGCAATTTTGTTATCTATATTAACCTTATATGTTATATATTTAATACTAAATTTTACACAAATCATTATAAACATTAATAAAATTCATTTAATAAAAAAAATTTTAAGCATCTAATTGTTTAGTATTAGTTATCAATTCTTGGCTATAAATTATTTTGTGTGAAATAATTCTTCTAATTGCTTTTTCATGATTAATTTATTTGTAATTGAGGATTTCCATTTTCCTCGTGTATTTTATAAAAACCGGCACAACCGGCATGAATACTGATTGTACCACGGTCAGACCATTCCACTTACAAAACCGACACACCGGCATAAACCGGTTTGACAACCTTCTCTATTCACAACTCCCCCTTCTCTCTCTAAAAAAACACACAAATAACATTCTCCCCCTAAATGAGAATTCGATTCCTATTGGGGTGCTTCGCACGATGAAGACGGGGAGAAGAGGTAATTCCGGTCGTCGTCATTTGTGGCGGACGCGATGTCGGACCCTATTTCGGAGTCGAGATTCTCGGTGTAGAGTTGGAGGGATCTGTAGATGAGGGAGGAGCGTTTTGCCGCGTAAGCGACGGCGGGTTTTAGGATTGAGGAAGAAGGAGGAGTCGGGTTGGATTTGAATAAGGTTTGGAGGAAGCTCCACCCGCCCGATTCGGCGGCAAATGGCTTAAGAGAGAGCTCGAGGGAGTGGGTGGAGGGTTTGGGTGCGGAGAGTCGTAGGCGGAGGATTCTGGGCTCAGCCATCTGGGGTTCCAGGAAGATTGGATGCCTTGGAAAATGATTGTACCTGTTTTATGTTTGTGGGTTGTTTGTTGCTGTTATAGTAAACGTTGAGTCCTTTTGGTGGATGGATTACAGGGAGAAGAAGGTAAAACAGAGGAAGGGGGAAACAGGGGAATGTTGTTTGTGTGTTTTTTGGAGAGAGAGAGGGGGAAGTTGTGAATGGAGTAGAGAGAAGAAATTGAGGTTTTTTATTTATTTTAAATAAAAGTGATAATTAGTTGAAAATAAGATGGCAATTTTAAAAAATTAATTTATTAACTTTATTATTTTTTATATTGTCACGTCACACATTTAACGGTCAACTTTTAGAGTTGACCGCCACGTAAGCAAAAGTTAACGGAGTTGGACGGAGAGTGACCTAACACGAACGGTTTCAGTAAACCGAAATACCACCAATGAATTTAAATATTTCGAGTGACCAAATTTGAACTTTTTTGTAATCTCAGTGACCAACCATGCAATTAACCCCTAACTAATGGTATGTTTAATAATACGTCAATGATTATAAAAATAAATATTTTAAAAATAAATTAATATATAGATAATAGTTAAGTTAGCAATCTAATTCATAGGATAATAAGGATATTAAACGTGTTATACGATTTTATACATGTGCAGTCCGGGAGACATAAATGAACGAATAAAGTAAAATGGCTTGACAATAATACATACGAAAGTTTTAAATAAATAAAAATACATACGGTCACGTATACATGTATTATACAATGTATGTATTAAGTTACTTGTTCAACAAGGTTCGTAACTAAATAGCCTGCAGATTCATTGGCATCCATGAATATAATGAAGATAAAAGTTGGAAATGGATGGCTATGCGCTATGTTGCCTTCCCTGTCCCTCCCAAAGGTTGATGATCCCCTCTTGATTCTGTTTCTCTGTGGATAGGCCACTGACATACTCTATTTGCCGTTATATTCACAACCCTTGGTTTAGCGAAACCAGAATTTGCTTCGATGATTCTCCTGCTTAATTAGCTTGTTGCTTTCCTTTACACAAAATCAACTAATCACGTTTAATAAGCTAGCAATTATCCCATATCACTCGTTACATCATTCACTTAATTAAAGATCACGTCGTTAAAGCAAGAGGGCTAGCTAGCATACATTGAGGTTACAATATCCAAAAAAAAAAAAAAAAAAAATTTAAAACAACCCATCCAAAAATATTTTCTCATCAAGGATTTCCATGTATTTCGATAGGTTTATACAGTTCCTGGAATACATTTTATAATTAAACACCCATTCATTCTAAATAAAGAGCCATGCAACCGCTTAATTAGGCTGGTTCCACGCGTGAATAAAATATGAATCATAATGCCATGGCTAGGTTAGTGGTGAAGATGCTGGTTCAAATAGGGGGTCCTATGTTCGGCTCTTCCTTTCTACAAACCATCGGTAATATATTTTACAGTGTTTGCAAAATAGTATTGATGGTCCAATCGAAAGAACCGCTCATTGAAGCCCAAACTGATAGGTGATTTTAGTGGTTTGGTATAGTTAAATCATATTTTAAGCACAAAACACTTTATCACTTACTTTTCTGGTACAACTTTGAACCTACAATATAATTTTACAATGGTTGATATATTTTTTTTATGGACCACCCTCATCTCCATGAGATCACCATACCTGATATTGATGGGAGGGACTCGTCGTTATTAATGGTGGCTCTCTCAAGTCTCATGATTTGAAGGAAATGGTTTCTCTCCTCTTACCTATGCCCTAGCTATCTTTACCCTCCAGAACAGGAGGAGGTGATAATAATAATTAAATAATGGGATCAACCCCCTTTTTCCCAATTAAGCACCTTTTCTGGCTTTATCTACTCTCCTCCTCCTACGTGTCGGGGAAAGTGATTTCTAACTGATTGATGTTTGTGGTTAGAAGAATGGATGGGAAGATCAAATTGGGACAAGGTAATAATTAATTCCCATGCACGTATACGTCAGCCACCATGTTTCCTCTTAGTCCAATTAAAGTGGGTTTCGGTGGGGAACTTCATATATAGTTCATATCGGGTGAGATTTGGGGTTATTTAAGCCAGGGGGATTTTTTTTATGTTTAATTGTAGTTAGAGGAACACAAATAGTGGTTTGCAATTAGGCAATATATACCCATATAGTCAAAGTCTAACACACATCATAGTACATATAAAAATGTTTAGGGCCAGAGGCGTTCGACCTAGTTATTTATTTATATGTATAATTTTGTATTCGGGAATACATATATACCATACCGAAATATTTTTGGAATTGAGATATCAAATTTGTTTCATGGTCGAGATTAGGGTTGATTTCAAGACACTATCTGTTATTCGATATTCCGATATTTGGTACTGAGATATCGTTTGGTTGAGTACTGCTAAAGTTCGTAAAAAAAAAAATTATGTTACAGTTAAGTTACGTATAAAATGCGTACGGGTATTTTGCTTTGTATCTAAACTAACGGTACGTTTAATAGTACGCCAATTATTATAAAATAAATATAATTACCTATTTTAAAAATAACTTTAAATATGAATAATTGTTGAGTTAGGAATTTAATTCATAGAATACGGATATCAAACGTGTTATACGGTTTCACACGTGTTTAGTACGGGAGACATCAAATGAATGATAAATGATATTAGATGTCTCGGTGAATAATACGGGTACACGGAAGTTTTAAACGGATAGAATACACGCTCGCGGCCATATTATACGTGTATTAAACGCGGAGAATAATGTACTAATTGTTACTTGTTCATCAAGGTTCTAGCTAGCCTGCAGATTCATTATCTTCATCAATGAAATCAAGATAAAAGTTGGGACATTCCCCTGTCCATATCAAAGTTTGACCCTCCCCCTCTATGGATAGGCTACTGACACACTCCATTTGCCGATTTTGTGCAGCAAACCCTAGCTAGCCCAGCAAAACCAGCGGTCTAATTGCCAAACGATCCCTCCCCATATGCCATATCCTCCTATATAAACTCAACAATGTTATCTTCTTCTTCATCATCATCATCCTCCACAAGCTTAAGAATAATAATCCATCAATAATCTCCTTTGTTTACGTCCCTTCTTCTTGCAATCTCTCTCTCTCTCTCTCTCTCTCTCTCTCTCTCTCTCTCTCTGTCTTTCAAGTTTTTCAAGATGGACAACCAGTACTATTGCAACCGTTGCGATCGGGAATTCCAAAATTTCAATGCCATCAAATCCCACTACAGTGACTCCCACAAGAAGACGTTGCACTATGCTTGCTCCACCTGCTACCAATGCTTCGAGACGGAGGCGGCGCTGGCCACCCACCGCCGGAACAATCCCGGCGCCGCTCCGCACCAGAGGGAGCCGAAGGCGACTTAGATGAAGCCGGCAAGATGGAGGAGGAGTTTGTTTAGGTGATGGTGGTTTGTCATGTTAACATATTGGTATTATTGTCCAGTAGTGTCTGTACAGAGTTGTTATTATTATATAGTTAAGTTGATGGTGGGTCGTCCAGGTAGTGAAGAAGAAGAAGAAGAAGAAGTCAAGGTTTCAAAGTTTAGGGCATGTACATAATAACGGTCGGTTAATTAGTAAATGGAATAAAAACTCCTCCTCTTGTTTATGTTTATCTGTGCTATGCTTTACATCTTCCTCTTTTCCATGGCTCTGAGCAAATTTCCCTTCCCCGGAGAAAGCTTCCGCATGCATGTCCGGCACCAGCAGTTGTCTACAACCCTATAATTTAACCACAGATCATAAATGTCCTAAATTAGTAAAATCGGATTAAGTCATCAAAGTTGGCTTGACAGATTGTTTGAGATTGAATTATCGAATTGGGTTTAACTAGTTCAAATCGTGTTTGAGGATTTAAGAAATCATTAAAATCTGTTCTCAGGTTAAAAATGTGAGGGCGTAAAATGACAATGGAACATCTTTGTATAATTGTATTTATGCACGTAGGTACATACTATACCAAACATACTCACATTTCAGGAATTCCAAATGTAGCGTATTACGTACGTATCTAAACCACGACAATTTATAACCATTCAAGTACTCTAATTGTTTTGGTGGGTCTCGTTACCCCCTTATCTACTGCGGGCAATTAGCGCGCCGTCCGCTGTCACTACGCAAAAAATTAAAAAAAGCATCTTTAGCGCAAAAGGATCGAATTTCGTCGCCGTAAGTATAGGCGATGCGTCGCCAAAGGTTCCTAGGCTCCGTCACGTATACCACTTAGGGTTATTGCGACGAATATCTGTGCATCGTCGCAGAAGGTAGAGACTTCTGCAACGAATAGATATTGATCTTGCGACGAATCCATCCGTAGCTGAAGAGACTTCTGAGAGAAATAGATATTGATTTTGCGAGGAATCCGTAGCTGAAAGTTTGCGACGAGTGGTTATGTCACAATTTGTTCCTTCCGCGGCGGAAAAATTCGACGCATATATAGCGACGACTGCACTCGTCGCTACAGCTAGACCTGATCCCATACATTTAGCGACTACATCCCTCTATAATATATGGTCGTTCTTCAGGAGATTTTGAGCATTTCAAATTCCTTACACTCCTCCTTAATTATAGCTAGGGGTAAATTTGTAAGTTCAACTTAGAACTTAAATATCTTCTTACGAGAAAAAAAATGTCATTACCAAGACTTGAACTCGAGTCCTTCAAATTTATAGTAAAAAATCCTAACCAACTGGACTACAACAATGTTTATGTATTTTTTGAATTAAAGAGAGGAAATACTGAAATATCTCAAAATCATAGGACTATCCATCGCAACAATCAATTATCGAATTAATAAATAACTGTAATTATTTACAAATTGAATCATCATGATATACCTAGCTTTATGAATCAACTAAGTGAGTTCATCTAATCACACAATTCTTCACCAAGAATCAAATAGTACATTTTGAGTTTATGTATGTCTTACAACTTTTACATTTATTAGGTTACATGACTTTGTAGTTTGTAGGAATACAAGGATTGTTTACAAAAGTGCTATACAAAATTTTATTTCAAAACATAAAATTTGACATTTGTGATCTATGTTTTTGTAACAAGACATTTTCAATGCTATAAGTGAATGACCAAAAATCATTGGCTAACAATTTCCCTAACGGTTGACAATTATAAGCATAGAATTGAAAGACTAAATACCATTGACAAATGAGCCAATTATCATTGGCTAAATTTAACAAACAATAGTATGTGTATATACATTGGAAATTCTATGGTACGCTCGATGGATTGAGGGTTATTGCATCTCCTTAGTTAAATAACTTTATCTAGACCATAGATTAATCACGTAACTAAACCCTATATCATAATTCTCTAAATCATAATATAGTGCATATGGTATGTTGTATACATATTGGCGAATCAAAATCATTGATTATATTATTAGTATATGTGATATTAGGGTTTAAGTTCTATAGGTTTAGGGTATATGATTTAATTATTTTGAAACTTAATCTCCCTTTTCAAATTTCCTGCAATAAAGGAAATTAGGAAGAACATTTGTGTCTTCACAATTATCTGTATTTTTTATTTATTTACAGAAAAAGATAGACATATTGAGATTTGAACCATGGTCACTTCAAACAAAGTGAAGGTTTAAAATCAATCAGACTATGTATATTTGTTGTATTTTTTTAAATTAAAAATATATACGAACCTAAAATATGAAATCACAGAACTTTTCAACAGTTAACTAGCCCAATAAATATTTCGTAAGTACTTATTTGGTGTTTTGATACTTCGATTTTGATATTTTTTATTTTAATTATAGTTTAATACTTAATTTAAAATTTTATCTATCTTATAAATAGACGATAACCATAAATTTGCAACCAAAATATTGTTGGTTCGAATATTTCATATCGAATTATAGTATTGAATATGTAGAAGCAATATAGAATTCTTAAATTACCATTAATTTCCAGAACTATAGTGAAGCAAGCATATCTTTGTGCAAACTATAGGGGACTGGTTCTCTGAACATTTTTGTCCGGTTAAATACTAAGTTTTGAAACTCTTCTTAGGGGTGTACGTTGGTCGGTTCGTTTGGGTTTAGATATTTTAATCACCTAACTCATATACCACGATTTTGAAAACACTAAATACAAACTCACCCAAATAATTTAGAATTTTAACGGTTTGTGTCCTCCATACCAAATGAACCAATTTACATGTCTCTTAACTAAGGACGATCTCATTGTCCAATCCCATCATTCTAATGTCAATCCATAAAAGTAACCCATATTCGCGTTTGTTAACACATATTTCACATTGTCATTACTGTGACCGATAACTTCGCTGCAACTGATTCAGTATTACTCATCATATGGCCTCCAAACTGATAAACATATCGGGCCAGCAGTTTTATGACAAAACTCAAAGTGAAGATAACTCATCGTTTGGTGGAATTTTGATGCTTGCTAGTGTCCATTAATCTAATTGCAAGCATAATGATTGCTAAAATTAAGCTTTCATGCAACACACTAGGAGTTGGGGGTGTGTACTTGGAGTAGAAGTTGATATTGGGTTTGGGAAGGGATTAAGGGAAGTGGTGAGAGGAAGAAATTGTGTTTGGATTTGGTAGCAGGTAAAGTTCATGGTTTGGTTTCTTTTCGTAAAATGCTTTGAGTTATTTTAGTTAGAGGTATAATATCATGGTTATGTGTGATCAAATGAACCAAAAATGAGCTTGGGGGATGGGAATTCCAACTTAGAAGGAGTGAATTTGATTTTGATAAACTCAAGTTCATGATTAACTGAAAGAATATTTAGATTTAGACTTTGTGGTATTGAGATGTTCATAGAGAGTTTAAAACTGATCCAAGGCCATGGATTGATATTGGTTAGTTGATTGTGATTTTGAGGAAGGTGTATAAAAAGTCATGGAAGTAGTTTGCAGCAAGTGGAGGCAGTTGGTCAGGGTAGTGATTGAACCAATTAGGGTATTGAAAGACATAGAAGCAAAAGCGGATCAGTTGAAGAGAGAGAAGTGGTAGATGATCAAGACATTAATGAAAATGGAGAGGGTATTGAAGGGCATGGAAGTGAACTGGATCAGGTGAAGGCAGAGAAGGAGGAGAAGAGCATATTGATGGAATTGAAGATGAGTGTTGGTTTTACGAGCTTATTAAAACTGCCTCGAGGAAGATGAGTTGGCCAAATACAAGAAAGAGGATTGAAGAGTTGGAGATCAAGCTGACAAGAAACTCAATTGAAAGAGAAATTCAGGTTCATGGAGAGAAGGTCCATCAAAGTAGCATAAATGGAGTTGCAGAAGGAGGATTAGAAATTGAATTTTGGTTTAAAACATATACGTCAAGAGATTGAAGATGGAGGGGATAAAAAGTTGGTTGTATAACGCAGAGTGAAAACTATTGGATCTTTAGGTGTTATGGTTGTTGCAACTACCACAACCTATATTTATGTTAAAACGAGGAATCATTGATTGATTTACTAAAGTTAAGATCGATTCACTATTCAAACTACTAGAACCTGTAGATAAGGAGTGTCTAATTTTGTGCTTCATTACTTTGATCGAGTCTATTAGTATATTGGATGTAACTCTAATTTTGTCATTTGCTTTCAAGTATTGATGGTGTCCTTTTAGTTGAGTTGTTAGCATATGCTTTACTTGAATCAACAACTCTTCATTTCTGTTTTTTTTTATAAATCCATTTATTTTTTATTAGTGGCATGTTATTCATAGATGAGAGCTTTAAACCATTTATGTGGGATTGTGAGGTTTCGTTTAAGTTTCAAACTATCTATGGATCGTGTGGGAATTCCAATGAGCTTTTATATTATATATTTCTGGGCAATCTATTAATCAATATCATTTTAATGGGGGCTCAATTATCATTATGAAAATGGAATTAATGATACATTTTTATATTCTTAAATGAGGAGGGTATTTTCCTGAATGTTCGACCTATATATTCATTCTTTATGTAGAATCTCGATTGAATGATTTTCAATAAACTTAAACAAATTAATAGACTGAAACATAGCATAAAAATATAAATATTCAAATATGAACATTCCGGCCAACGGGCCGGATAATAAGCTAGTAATATTATACGCCGAAGGGAAAAAGGGACTCCCATTTCAAATTTCCTGCAACGATAGTGAAAGTAGGAAGGACATTTTGGTCTTCAAAATTACTTTTTTATCCATTAAAAGGACACGTACTGGGATTCGAACCATGACCATTTTAAAGAAAAGCAAGGATCATAACCAATCACACTAAGTACATTTGTTGTATTTCTTTAAATTAAAAACATATAATAGCAGAGAGGCAAAAACCTTCCCCCATTTCTAATTCCCTGCTCCAGCAGCGTTTGTAGGAAGGG